TGCTGATTTAAATTTCAGCTGGTGTGCAGGAGACGGTGAGAACATAATAAAGAAGGTTACACAGTCCACATTTGGGAGACATTTTAACATACAGACTCAATTTTTCTTTTGACTTTCTTCTTTTTTAAAAAATTGGGCACATCAAACTTTTTCCGGTGAAATACATTTCATACTTCACTGGCACAGTCATCGCAGTCAGATGTAACCTAACCTCCCCGCTTGGTATTACTTACCCAAAAAAAGTGTCTGGACGATATGATTAGCTGAAATTCAGGAAGTTTACGTTTTCTCCGTTAATTGATGACTAGTAGATGATATTGTTGAGGGAGTAGTATTACACTCCGGTAACATGCACACAATTCCAGCCCTTCCTTTATATCTGTGCATGCACGGGTATTGTGTTACCGTTGCCTGGCAACAAGCTGTAGCCGTGGATGTAAGTTAGAAAGATGAAGAGAATGGCCCAACAATAGCTATTGATATTTTACAGCAAGGTCAGTGTCAATTTCAGGTTCCCTCAGTAGTAAATATTGAGATGAAGCAAGTGAGCATCTGAAAAACATGCCAGGTTTATCGCGACAAGGCTGTCTGAAGCATTGTGTGAAGGATATATCATTTTTCTTGTGTATTCATAAGGTTGAATGGTGTTCAGGAGCAGATTCCTCGCATTGTAAATACCGTGAATGAACAGCATTTCAACCGTCTTTTTGTGTTCACCCTTAAAGTACCTACCTTTCCTGCCTACTGTCTCCTTCCAACCTAAAGTAACCATCCTTCTGTGCCCCAGATACTTACCTGAATCTTGCAACCTTGGCCCACCACACGTTGGGTCTTTGTAGACCACTCCAGGACCATCTCCTAAGTCTGTCCTTCCTCTATTACAGTCACAGTGACTAGGGTATAAAAGATGCTTTGACTTCAATACTGTCAGTGGGCTGGTGTATTTCCCCTCAGCTCCTCTCCCTCCTTTTGAGAGAGGGGTGACAGGGTGGGTGGGTGTTCGAATTTGGGGGGGTGCATTGTGGTTTTTGGGGGGGTTCGAAGTGGTTGGTAGGGTGGGAGGTGGTAGGGGTTGGCTCATAGGGGTATATATGATTGGGGCAGGTTAGATCCAGTAGACACCTTTTCTATCTTTGATGTCCCACTTGAAGGGTCCCCCCATCTTCAGGGAGTGGTGCTCCTTATGATGTTGGATTGTATGTCATATCTCCGATGTCATTTTTATGTGATTGTTGTACAATAAACTTTATTTTAGGTTAGCCAATTAGGTGTGCAGCCTTTTTTTCTCTCTTTCTTTGTTTTTTTGATAGTTGGTTAGGTAGCACCCTTCCAGATATTCTGGTGGCGCCTCATCTATGCTTTTAGTGATCGCATGTGGACTCCCCAGCTTTCCTTTTTTCCCCTATTTTTGATATGCAATACTGCTTGACCACGTCCCCACCACCAAATCTTCCTAAAAGAGGCATTGATATTATTAAAGGGCGATAGGGGTGTTCCAATTCTCCTTCACTTTTTCTAAAATCAAATGTTTTTGCTGAGTACCCTAAACTGAAAATAATTCTATATATCAAATAAGGCAAATGAGGTTTAATGTTGATAAATGTAAGGTTCTGCACTTGAGGGCTAACAGTATGCATGCATCATACATACTGGGGGGGGTACAACTGGGGGAATCAATGGTGGAGAAGGATCTGGGGGTTCTGGTAGATCACAAGCTTAATAATGGCATGCAATGCCAAGCTGCGGTTTCTAAAGCGAGCAAAATCCTCTCTTGTATTTAAAAGAGGTATAGACTCCAGAGAGAGAGATATCATTTCCCCCGGTACAAATCATTAGTAACACCTCATCTGGAATATGCAGTTCAGTTTTGGGCACCAATTCACAAAAAGAACATTGCGAACTGGAGAAAGTACAGAGAAGGGGAACCAAACTGATAAGAGGCATGGAGGAGCTTAGCTATGAGGAAAGATTAGAGGAACTAAATTTATTCTCTCTTGAGAAGAGGAGATTAAGGGGGATATGATCAACATGTATAATACATCAGTGGTTCTTATAGTGAACTCGGTGTAGAGTTATTCACCCTGAGGGCGTCACAGAGGACAAGGGGGCACTCTTTACATCTGGAGGAAAAGAGATTTAATCTCCAAATACAGAAAGGTTTCTTCACAGTAAGAGCTGTGAAAATGTGGAATAGACTTCCTCAAGAGTTTGTTCTGGCCAGCTCAGTAGATTGCTTTGAGAAAGACCTGGATTCTTTGCTAGATACACAGAATATAACTGGATACTAACATTTATAGGTAAAGTTGATCCAGGGAATATCGTATTGCCTGGGGATCAGGAAGGAATTTTTTCCCCTGCAGGAGCAAATTCGATCATGCTTTGCTGGGTTTTTTCCTTCCTCTGGATCAACTGTGGGTATAAGATTATACCTTTATTTATTTTTTTTCTGGTAGAACTAGATGGACTTTTGTCTTTTTTCAGCCAGATTAACTATGTAACTATGTATATCAGTTTCAGAACAATACATATGAGTGCAAATTGCACTCCAACTCTTCTGTCTTATTTGAATAAATACTGGTGATCCTGCCAGCCCTACAGTCTTCCTCTGGGAGGATGACGACTCTGCAGTTCCTGCAGCGAATTCACTGCAGCATTGCCACCTTCAGTAGCCATATGTTTTGCTTTGTGTCTTTAAGGTTCTTTGTAGTAAAAGCAAGGAAGCACAAAAACCTCTGTAGGTATTAATGTGCTTTACCAAACAAAATCACTGTATATACAATTGTTGAAAAACATACAAAATATCACAAAATATGCATACAATATACATGTGCACAAGCTATCTATCCTTCCTAGCAACAGATACTTAATTTGGCTATTCCTGGTGATGGAGTTGTCTTCCTTTTATCAGGATCTCTCCAGACTGCTTCTTGGAGACCTGCAAAAACTACTTTCTCCTCAGCACATGGCTGTATTCAAGTCCTCTGTTCCCTCCCCTACTTCCTACAAAAATCACTTCCTGTAGCATGAGCTCCATGAACCAGTCCAACAAGGTAATTAGTAAATAATTAGAGGAAGCCTAACTTCTAAAAAAAATATGTTCATAAATTGTTATTCCATATATTTATGCTATAAAAATCACTAAAATAGCCATAGCAACACACCTTGCAGGGCTGTGTATTCACACAAGCTGAGGAGCAGGGCTAAGAGCTTTATCACTGCTAATAACCCTCCTCCTTGTTGCCCATCAGCCCCCTGATATGTGATCCATTAGGGTGTCTGGTGTTTAGGGTCCCATTTTCTGTGGAACAAAGGCCTTGGCAGCCCTCCTGTGTCAATTGAACAAAGAGGAGGACCTTCACTGCTTAGGAGAAGGTACTTAAAAAAAATGCAAGCTTTGCCTTGAAGCTGGTTCTGATAGGTATTCTCTCGCTGACACCCTTCATGTAAATGAACAGAGGAAGGCAAAAATTATGACATGGAGATGCAGAGGAGACGCTGTCTACTAGAATAGATGGGATTCCAGTTCCTGTGGAACAAAGACTTGGAGACCCTTCTGTTACAGGATCAAAGAAGAGTACCTTCACCACCTAGGAGAAGGCAAACAAAAAAAAACAAGCCTTGCTTTTTCAGGGGAGGATTACATATACATAAAAAAAGTTTAATTTGCTTTCAATATTAATTTCAAAGCAGTTGTAAGCCGCCTGAAAAAATAATAGAATAATGGGCCCTCTGCAGGTTTAGGTCAAAATGTACTAGTATGCACCGCATTGCACTGTCACAGCTCCCTTGCACCACCATCGTCACCTGGTCTTCCTTCTGGTTTCTCAGGCTCCAGGGGTATGAATGTCCAGACCCGCGATGACGTCACTCCTGCGCATGCACACGGGAGCCCTCGGCTGTGACACAGAGCTCTGAAGGTCTGGCACACCGTGCCATCCCTTCAGAGCGCATGCGCCAGTGACATCATCGGCTGCATGCTGTGTGAATATCTTCTAAACGGTGCAAGTTGAGGAGATATTCAGTGTACCCCCAGGTAAGCCTTGTTATAGGCTTACCTGTAGTTACAACTTTTGAAGTGGACTTTACTTCCACTTTAAGATATAGCTTTAGGCACAGTTGTCCTTTAAGGCAAGACACTTTAATATTTTAGCTCAGCCACTGGGCCCCAAAGCACATTATCTGAACTAATTTATCCTGTTTCAAAATAATTGAGATCTTGGCCAAATCAGAAAGGTGTGGTCAGCATAAGTTATTTCCCTCCAGCATTGTATTAGGCTGGTTCTGATAGGTATTCACTCCCTGACACCCGTCATGTAAATGAGCAGGGGAGAGCAGAGATTAGGATACGGAGGTGCAGAGTGGAGGAGAAGCTGTCTACCAGAATAGATGGATGTCTTTGTCTTTTTCCATCTCACTAACTGCCTGCTCTCATCATTTCATACATAAATGACCTTGCAGCTGCGTAAGAGAAATACAAAGCATTAATGATTTCTGACGGTGTTTATGGATGATTTCGCTGAAGTGCTGTCAATTTGCAAATGCAATGTATTCGTAAAAGCAGAATCGGCAATGTATTTTGCAGAGCTGAGGTTACCGGCGAGTCCAGCCAAGGTTGGCTGTCCAGCCTAGTTAGACCTTTCATTGTAGCGCTTGTCTACATTTTGTTTTTTTGGTTTGGCTTATTTTAAGTTCAGCCATAGACTATTGTATTAACGGCACCATTCAGGAAGGTATTGCAACATCCACCATCAAAATTATACTATCAAAACAAGATTTTTATAGTCATAAAATTGTACAAAAGCTACCATAAAACAAAAAATGAAATGAATGGTTTCCATTGTTAAAACCACAACTCTGTATAATATGCGAGGTGTGACAATGTAAATCCCGGAATGGACTGTAAAAAAAAATGGTGGGGCACTATTCCTTCCACTGGAGACATTCGCTCCCATGTTCTCCGGCGTTGAGTGGGCGTATATTCCTCCCACGTTTGCTTAAAGCGGAGCTCCACCCAAAAGGGGAAGTTCCGCTTTAAAGACAGGTCCCTGCTCCCCATTAAGGATTGGCACCTTTGGGGGGTGGAGGGGAGCGGGTACCCGAATTTGACAGGTACCTGCTCTCACTTCCGCTCCGACCGCCTAGGTCAGCGGTTCTCAACCTAAAGCCATCGGAAAACACATATTTCCGATGGTCTTAGGAACCGAGACACCGCTCCTGAGATTGGCCACCGGAACTGTAGCTCAGGAGAGGCACACAGGCGGCCAATCACCGGCGAGAAGGTGGAGCTTGGAGAGGAGGAGCCGAGCGGCAGCGCGCGGAGATCGAAGAAGATCGAGGGAGCTGCAGGAAAAGAGAGAGGCCAGAGAAGGAAGACAGCTGACAAAATTTTTTGCTGCTGCAGCCAGGTATGCAGGCTGTAGATGGGAGAGGGAGAGAGCGAGCCCAGGCTGGAGCAGAGGTCAGCAAGGTAAGTATCATTGGTGTCAGTGGGAGGGATAGTGCCCCATCATTTGTGTCACTAATACCAACAATGGGGCACTATTCCTACCCCCACTGACACCAACGATGGGGCACTATTCCTCCCCCCACTGACAGACAACGATGGGGCACTATTCCTCCCCCCCTGACACCATTTGATGGGGCACTATTCCTCCCCCCACTGACACCAACGATGGGGCACTATTCCTCCCCCCACTGACACCAACGATGGGGCACTATTCCTCCCCCCTGACACCCCATTCCTAAGGATTGGGGGCACACTATTCCTCCCACTGACACCAATGATGGGGATGGGGGTGGCCAATGATGGGGGCACTATTCCTCCCACTCATATCAATGATGGGGCACTATTCCTTCCACTGACACCAATGATGGGGCACTATTCCTCCCACTGATACTAATGATGGGGTACCCTATTCCTCCCACTGACACCAATGATGGGGTAATTCCTCCCACTGATACCAATGATGGGGCACTATTCCTCCCACTGACACCAATGATGGGGCACTATTCCTCCCACTCACAATGATGGGGCGCTATTCCTCCCACTGACACCAATGATTACACTATTCCTCCCACGCAATGATAGGTGATCGGATACCAAGTGGAAGGTGTCCTCCCTTCCTCCCTCCTCGTAGTCTTTTGGGACATGTGACAGGTCCCAGAAGACTACAGGACCATTTAGGAAGTGCAGCACTACTCGCGCATGCACAGTGGATACCCGGCTGTGAAGCCGCAAGCTGTCACAGCCGGGTGCCCACACTGAAGATGCCGGTGCCCAGGGAGAGAAGACAGTCAGTAAAATAGGCTGCAGGGGACACACCGCGGGACCGAGGGACAGGTAAGTGGCTGTTTTTTAAAAGTCAGCAGCTACAGTTTTTGTAGCTGCTGACTTTTTTTTTTTTGAAGCTGTTGTTGACTAGAACTAGAAGCTTTTGTCACTTCAAAGTAACCCCTTTGTGAAGCGATACACTTTCTAGATGACTTTTATTTTGATTGTTATTTCCAAAAATGTCCTGTTCTAGCATTTTTTTTATTTTGTAAACAGCCAAAAGTCACAGGGTGCTAAGTCAGGGGAATAAGGTAAAATGCGTTAAGGTAAAAAAAACCTTCTGTGTGTAGCAGCCCCCCTAACACTTACCTGAGCCCCATCCCGATCCAGCGATGTCCACGAGAGCCTCAGTTTTTGTAGTTCTCATGGGGCTACCACTCCTGATTGGCTGAGGCAAACAAGGCAAAAATGCGTTAAGGTAAAAAAAACCCACAAGATTTTAGTGTCACTTTAACGCATCATGTGCAGGAGCATTGTTGTGGTGGAAAACCCACCTGTCAGGCCAGATTTCCAGTCTTTTCCTCCAAACAGATTTCTGTAACCTTTTCACTTTCTATATTTGCATTCATCCTTTGCGTTTTTGGCTGCCCACTTATTGCGTCATTGTGAACATCTTCGTGCTGCTCCTTAAACACCAGTGTCATTCAAAAACACTTGTTTTCTTCATGGAATATTCACCATAAGCCTGTGGTAGCAAAGCTAAAGTTAAACTTGCACTTTTGGCAGTTTTCTCGTAAGATTTGATGTTAGTCTGCTGCTCCAGATTCCTTTCACTCATTTTCCACCAACAGTGCAACGCATACATGCGTCATTTCTTCTACTACTCCATAAAGACTGAGTCAACTGGGCTGCATCCCAGGCGAGTGCAAGTTAGAACATATCAGAACACTTTCGACTGCAAATGGCTGTGTGACTCATCACCATAGGGCTACGCCGCAGGCATTCTGGGAAATACATTTTCACACTCTGTACTGTTTACAGTACTGTATATGCATTTACCATATACCTCAGTGGTATTGCAGATCTAAGTTTGTCCCATCAAGCATATTCAAATATACTATTGACTGGCTCTCTACCTCAACTGGAAGTCTTTCCTAAGCATCAATTACTTTTTTACTATAGTGCAAATTGTGATGTTGTTTTGATTGCAAGATCTTTATGGCTTTTGCAGATCTTGTCTGCTTCCTCAGACTGTATATACATACCTGTGATCATGTAATCACCAGAAGGCCATAAGTACTTGGTGATGCCGCTCCAGGCTGAGGTGTTGGGCCCCATTGACACTCAGGATAGGAGGGATGCCAGTGTAAGAAAAACTCATCCAGCGAGTATTGTGTGTAGTGTGGATGTGAAAATCTCAGTCCATTCCGTTACACGGGCCATTTCCCCTGACATGTTTTGCCCCTCCCACCTAGGCTTAAGCCCCCATATGAGAGGTTTTCACATGTACATATCCACACTAGGACCGGATATGATCATGTAATAATACAACTAGCTACCATATTACCATTACACATATTCTTTGGTCACATTGTTCCAATGATTGTAATACTTCCTTTAATATAGATGTGGAACCCTCTAGTGTGGTACTAGAATAGTGTAGAGTATTATAAGCAAAATCATTGTGTGCGACTCATGGTAGTTGTGTGAGTCATGTGATTGAGGTTGGGTTATTGCAGGTTAGCTGGATGACTCAACAGGTTGTGGCACTATCGCCTCATCCTGACTCTGGAAAACCATAGAACCTTCCAGAAGTCGGTTAGAAGGAAAGGGTGGAAACCTAATCTGCATATGCATGAGGGGGTCTGATCAGTCCCAGGTTTGGAGGCCCTGGTAGAGTGATGGACTGACCTAAATATGGGAGAGTCAAGCTGGAAAACGGGAGTGCTGAGAAGACTGTTGGCACCTAGGACGCGTCTCCTAGGCCTGGGGGGGACAGCCTCTAGCTGGCCTTGGGCTGACTCAGGAGGATATATTCTGCGGAGAGGCATGTATGGATCAAGGCCTGTAGCAGTAGGGAGTAAAGAGGACAGTGTGAATGCAGTAGCACACTTTGGGATCTACAAGGGGAAAGACTGCCAAACATAGCAAGCTTTATAAGGACACCATTGAGCTCAATCCTTTACCCTTGTCCGGGAGATCTTCCAAGAACGCAGGAGGGCTAAGAGTGCTTGCAGGCTGTGGAGGTGGGAGAACCTCTGTGGGGGAAGAGAAGACATCTCTGCATAGCTACAAGAAGTAAAGTGATTTTTGAGGGGCTGCTAGTTCCTCACCTATACAGGGCATCTGCAACTGATCCTCAACAACTGACGGCTTTCAGAAGAACAATCCAGGATCTGCTTTGTACATAGGAAGGAAGTGTTCCCCTTCCATTGTTTCAAGCCGAATCGGGCATCCGGTAACCCCTGTTCCCCATTCAATTTGATTTCTACTAATAAAATAACAAAACCAAGCCCATGGACTAGTCATTGTCTTTGGATGCAAGTTGGTTCGAGATATACCTGTTGCCTGGCTGTGCGGAGGGAAGCCTAGGGATAGCTCCCTTCATGAAGCCTAAACCTAGTGATGATTCAACATTGGTCCTTTAAACTGCATTTTAGGCTCAGTAGCTAACAGTTGGTCATGCTAGATTCCCAGGGATTTACACATGGGTAATACCTAATTTGGCGGCACAGTGGCTTAGTGGTTAGCACTTCTGCCTTGCAGTAATTGGGTCATGGGTTCAATTCCCAACCATGGCGTCTCCTGCATGGAGTTTGCATGTTCTCCCTGTGTTCGTGTGAGTTTCCTCTGGGTACTCTGGTTTCCTCCCACACTCCAAAGACATGCTGGTAGATTAATTGGCTCCTGTCTAAATTGTCCTAGTTTTATCCCATGTGGGATCTCCTGCATGGTAGGGGTTGGGGAAAGACCTGACAACCTACCCTGTAAAATAATTGCTAAGAGAATTCATGGAAAAAGTCGCTTACGAGTGACAGTCCATGCAATCGCCAAGGATCGGATACAACTGAATGGATAGATAGATAGAGAATACCTAATTTATTGTTTTTCAATTTTACATGTGGCAGATGCTGTGGTATAGGCCCATGTGTGACTTCATACAAGCGCCCAGACATTTATATGTTATTGTTTGTTGTCTGGTTTGTCTATCCATGGTGAAATGTTCTTCAATATTGACTTTTAAGTCAATCTTTGTTTGGATTCCAGGCTGGTGGTTTTTAAAACAGCTTTTTGAGTGAATAAAATTATGGTATTTTGAAAATATCAGAACTCATATTTTGTACTTGCTTTACCAGTCCCGAAGTTTTGTCACCATAAGTAACCACTGTGCCCACTTTTTGGGCTTTTTTGTTGGTTTAGCGGAATTGTTTTGGTTACGGTGACAATGCCTAATTGAAGTAGAGGTGCACTGGTTTGCTAATATATCCCTTTAAATCAACCCCGAGTGTCTTTTTATGTGTTCTTGTGTTCCTGCCAGGAAACGGTACTTCTTGAGCCTGTAACTCAATCAGTACACACTTGCTCGGCTAAGCAAGGGTTAACACAAGCCTGGGAAAAATCCAGCAGAGCAGTGCCGCTGGTGCCAACAAGTCTGAGTGACTTGTGGGACACAGTGGGAAGGTCAGAGAGAGCAACAACATGGTGGGTCACCTGCAACTTTGTGACCCAGCAGTTACCTTTGGTGAATACCGGTATGAGGTTGAAACACTGAAGAGGATTCGCCCTCGGCATAGTCGATGGAGTGGAGAGGCTATGTTTGCTGAGTCCTGTTTGCCAGAGAGCCACTGCAGTGATTGGAGCTTGGCTGAGGTATGGGCACTGTGATGAGCCACTGATGAGAATGGCACCCAGCGACCTGCCACCGGTCATCTATTTAGTGGATCTGAGCTCAGGACTGTGCGTGGAGAGGAAGGAGGAATCCCGGCTGGCCGGAGGAAGGCAAGAGGTGTGTGGTGTGTGATCCTACAGTCGGTCAGGTATCCGCCACTACTCTTGCTGGAGAGGCCGGACAATAGCCGTGGGCCAGAGACTGGAGAAGGAAGAGTTGTGACCAGAGGCAAGTGTGGTCGGTTCAACACAAGCTTGCTTACCAGGAAAGGTTGGCTGCTGAAGTTCGCCTTGTCACCCATTCGGAAAGAGCCAAGTTCAGGTGTCTGCTTATCCTCAGGTGAGCCGGCAGGGAGTGACGATCGGGCGTGATCGATTGGGGGTTTCCCAGACTGGAAGCTGAGTTTAAGCACATAGAGATAGAGACAAAATATTCCCCAGAGAGTGATTCGGATGAGGAATGGCACTATGGGGATGCTCAAGACATCGCTGACCTACATGTGGGACTATTTGGAGGGGGAGCAGGATGGAGGGAGAGAACCGCTACCCCTGGCCAGGCAGGATGGGTGGCCAGATCGTAGACACCATGGACCCCTGCTAAAAGACAGCAACCAGAGAGACCTGATCCCATCCATGTACAAGATCAAACCCAGGAGGGGCCATGGGACACCCAGGGTAGGAAAGAGGCCCGGGACTTGGCCTACAAGCTGTGGATTACCCAGTCTCCTCAGGCTTGTGTATTACCTTGGCGAGACAGAATCAGGGAGCTTCCTAGATTCTCCAGGTTCCAGAGTGATGTACAAAGGAGAACCGCATTGGAGTGGGGATTGGACTTCCCGCATGCCCCTGCAGATGTTATGTACATCATTGAGACCTCCCGCTTCTGTTGGGAAGAGGAGCTGATTTGGGACTATTTGCATGTCCCCAAGTCCCAAAGGGGGTCCCTTAACCCATAACACAGAAGCCCTCACGAAGGTAGCACTCCATAGATATATATATATATTTACACGATACAAATTGCCTAATGTGTTTGTATGGTATACAGTGCCATGAATATAAATATTACATGATTATAGATATGTACAGTATATACGGTCTGAGGAAGCTTACAAGATTGGTGAAATGCCTAAGCATCTTGCAATCAAAACAAAGCAATTTGCAAAACAAAGGTTTGTTTCAC